AGTTGTGTCCACAAGTCGTCGCAAGTCTTCCGGTTTAGTCACATCCGCCACCACTTCCAGTGCTTTCGACTGTTTCGGTGATACTTTGAGACACTCTTTGGCCACTTCTGACACTTTATCGGCTCGTCTACCGGTGACCACAACATTAGCACCGGCTCTGGAGAACTGTACGGCAGTGGCGGCACCGATACCCGCACTCGAGCCTGTGATCAGCACTACTTTACCGCTGAAATTGAATGTGAGGGACATTTTAGTTATTTCAAGAATTTAAAAATTAAAGTATTTGTGAATTATATAACAGTGCACATAAACTTTTATAATATTTAAATTCTGTTCACAACCAGTCACTTTATATACCATTCAATTTATACTATTTTGAGGCAACCAAGGACACAATCATTTTACATTACTAGTATACTATAGTTATTATGTTTACTATTTCTGATGTTAATGCATTCATTAGTTACAGTACACTGTACTTTGTTCCACTAACGCCTGGTGTATTGAATACAATAGTCCGGGTGCACTAAAATGTTTATGATAAATAAGGATAGGCTTATCATATTACATAATAACCTTTCACATAATGTATATCCCATAGTATATAAAATTTATATCATTAATACAAATGTAGTATATTTTCACAAATCCTGTTTCTCTATAACTATGATATTATACTAGTAATAATAGCAATTTTTAATTCTTTTAACAATAAATTGAATGTTGATGAATATCAGATAATTTTTTGGCAACATATACAGTACATTAATAATTTTTAAAGTAATTATTTAAATTGTAGTCATATTTTGTAAATTATTTTTATTAATATCATATTTTTGAAATTGAATTATTAACATTTCAACATAATTTGCATTAATCTACTTTAAAAAATTAAATTATAAATAAGACTTTTATATTTAGTCAATATTAGATTATTTTATGTATTATAAATAATTTATTAATGTAGACATTTAATTTTTATATTGAATACTAACATTCACAATACAAAAATAATATTATTTTCAAATGAATCATTAACTTATAATATTTTATTCAAGATAATAAGTTTAGTTAGTCTTAAGAATATCGGCGTTGATATTATTGGCCGCAACACAACCCCCGTCCACAATAAGATTAGTGCCAGTGATGAAAGCAGCATGGTCACTAGCCAGGTATAGTATGGAGTCGCCCACGTCCTCAGACTCACCCACCCGACCTAGCACAGTTAGGTTTTCACATAATTTAGTAGCCTTATCAGCGATTTCTTTAGGCATTCCCATTGCCTCCATAAATTCAGTACGAATAGGACCAGGGCTAGTTTGGAAATGTGTTTTAAATTAATAATCTTTGGTATTTTATTTGTTTATTATATTTTTTATAAAAGTGAATTACTTGATGACATTAACGCGGATACGTTTGGGTCCCAATTCCGCGGCCATACATTTGGTGAACATATCCATCCCACACTTCGCCATAGAATAGGGTGTAAAACCCTGGACCTATTATGATAATTAGCAGTGTTATAAAATATATTAGTGCTTGGTGTTTTAATCTAATGATTATACGAACGGCTCTCAGTCCACCGACACTTGAAATGTTGATAACATTTCCTTTAGTTTTCTCCAAATGCTCGACACATATATGCGTTAAATAGACCACAGAATTGAGATTTATTTGCATTATTTTCAGATAAGTCTCGTAGAAATCCTTATTATTAATGGATGTTA